TTAAATACAAGACTAATCAAGATGATTACCTTGGAGCAGGTGGAATACCAGAGAGTTGAAATTTTCCGAGTTCACGACAGTCCTTGGTTAAGGTCCTTTCACCTTCAAAGACCTTAATATCAACTGTGGTTTGCTGGTCCTGATATGTGCTGAAAATTTGAGATTTCTTTGTTGGAATGACTGTGTTTCTTGGAATCAATTTAGTCATCACTCCACCAACAGTCTCAATACCCAAACTCAAAGGAGCCACATCAAGAAGAAGGAGACCTACATTCAACATTATACAACAAAATTTATAAATGTAAATAACAAAGTGAGTGAATTATTCACAGAAAAAAGTCTAAATTACAGCAAATCTGGCCAAGGAAGCAGAGTCATGGATTCTGTTTTTACCTTGAGTTTCTTCACCTCCTTCACCACTTAGAACACCACCTTGAACAGCAGCACCAAAGGCGACAGCCTCATCCGGGTTAACACCCTTGTTAGGCTCCTTACCATCAAAGAAATCCTTCAACAGCTGCTGGATCTTAGGGATCCTAGTACTTCCACCAACAAGCACAATCTCTTTAATATCAGTCTTTTTCAACCCTGCATCTTGCAAAGCCTTCTTAACAGGACTCATTGTCTTCTTAAACAAGTCCATGTTCAACTCCTCAAACCTCGCCCTCGTCAATGGCTCAGAGAAATCAACCCCATCAACAAGAGCCTCAATCTCAACCCTGACTTGGTGCTGGCTACTGAGTGCCCTCTTAGCCCTCTCACATTCCCTCCTCAACTTTCCGAGCGCCTTCTTATCCTTGCTAATGTCCTTGTTGTGCTTCTTCTTGATCAACTTGATGAAATAGTCCATGATCCTATGGTCAAAGTCCTCACCTCCCAAATGGGTATCTCCACTAGTGGAAAGAACCTCAAACACACCATTGTCAATAGTCAAGGTGCTAACATCAAATGTTCCACCACCAAGATCATACACCAAAATGTTCATTTCTCCTCCTTTCTTGTCCAAACCATAAGCAATTGCTGCGGCCGTCGGCTCGTTGATAATACGAGCCACATTTAGCCCGGCAATTGTACCGGCATCCTTGGTGGCTTGCCTTTGTGCATCATTAAAATAAGCTACAACAAAAAAGACGGTGTTCGTTTAAAATATCAATGTATAATTACTTGTCAATACTAATAAAATAACGAACAGTAAAACTTATGCATAACATTAAACGACAATTAATATCGTAGGCAACTTAAAGAAATTACCTGGAACAGTAACAACTGCGTGTTTAACCGTTTTACCAAGGTAAGACTCAGCAGTCTCCTTCATTTTTTGCAAGATCATAGCACTGATTTCTTCAGGACTAAACACTTTAACACCATCCTTAAGTTTCACCTGAATATAAGGCTTCCCTTCTCTATTAACAACCTTATAAGGCAACATTTTCATATCTCTTTGAACCTCAGGATCATCAAACCTACATCAATTACCAAAAATAGTAAGTCCCATTTTTGTTACATACCATATGTCCAAAATAAATCGTTACATAACGGGTTTAAATTATATTATCAACATGACAACTAATTCCGAACATATGACTTACTTTCTACCAATAAGACGCTTAACATCGAAAACGGTTCGATCCGGGTTAAGAGATGCTTGATTCTTAGCTGCTTCTCCGATTAATCGTTCAGTGTCAGTGAAAGCCACCCAAGAAGGGGTGATCCTGTTACCTTGATCATTGGCTATGATTTCAACATGACCATCTTTATAAACTCCAACACATGAATATGTTGTACCCAAATCTATTCCAATTACTGTCCCTTTTATTGTTTGATCATCTGCTGCTACTGTCACTCCTAGCAGAAACTCTGAAAATAAAATATTAAAAAGTCAGATTCTTGAACCATATTATAAAATTTATAATGTGATCAGATGCATTTAAATTAACAAAAATCCAAATATGATGATATCATGACAAATACACATTAACAATGACAACCATAAAAATTGATTACATGGGTTTGTACTCGTGACATGTGATCAAATCCCGTCTACATTACAAATAACCCTTTGCGACTCTATACCCGTAACAAAAAATTATTAAAAGGGTAAAAAGAAACAAACCTGAACATTACAAATAACCCTTTACGACTCTATACCCGTAACAAAAAATTATTAAAAGGGTAAAAAGAAACAAACCTGAAACAAAGAGAAGAAGGAAGTATAATGCCAAATTCTTAGAAGAACACCGCATTGTTACAGATCAAAATTGTGTCACCTTTGCAAAAAAAATAAAAAATGTTGAAAATTTCGTACTAAAAATTATAATAAGATTACAGAGAATATGTGTTGAATGTTGATTTTGATTATGAGAATAATTTGGAATTGGAAGAGTGTTAAATATTTATAGCTTATTATAAAAATTGTATGTTGGTTCAGGACTTTTTAAATATTTGACGAGGTTAATTAGGACATTGCTAGAGTGTTCTTCCCAGTGATTTTATTGCACGTCATACTTTTGTTGTAAATTAGTGTTGGAACCAATTAGAGTTTGACACGTCAAGATTATGATGGTGGCAAATTTTTTAATTGGTGTGTCACTTGTTATTTCCCGAAACTTCTTGATTTTTATAGACACTGTGAGAGAAACCAAAAAGGAAAAGGGTGAGAACTCACCCGATGACCCGACTTGCCAACAAAAAAACATGGATCAACTCCGTTATTAAATACTATGGTTTTGTGGTATAAGTCGTGTCGTATAACTCGTATTGTATGGTGTTTGTGTCCATGTTTATATTCGAAGATAAATGGATGGAGAACCTTAACACTACCTGATTTGTTTAATTAAACGTGACATATTGTGTTATGTTGACCTATATAATTAAACATGCATGTCACACTAACTCGCCTTATTCGTGTTCGGTTAGTGTTATATTATACTAGTATTATTAAAAATAGTTAGTCTAATACATAAGATATGTCATTAGCACCAGAAATCATTAGTTATTTTTTCATATTCCATAGGAGAGTTGAGTCGTGTTAGTTTTGTGTTGAGAATCTCAACTTTCTTACCCATAATTATAAACGTCTACAGTTTAATAAATGGCATAAACTCTTGACACTAACCCCCCTTCTATGTCCAACTCATATCGTATCTGCTTTTACCAGCTCTACATATGGTAGAATAAATCAATCATGAAACTCTACTACCAATGCAACTTACTACGTAGTTGTGAATGATGACTATTTTTGTTGGTTAAAGATTTAAAAGGCCGAGGTAGTACTCAAAACTGAGATCAAATCTCATCTACACATCATTTGCTCTGATTGAGCGATCATTTGACATGGTATTTAGAACTAGCTAATGTTGTTCCAAAAGTCCATTATCAAAAGTTTACTATCATATGTATCAAATATTTTGTTGGAATAAGAATAAGTATCTTGGACCCATTTCTACACCAGTTGACAAGGTAAACAGTGATCATTGAACCTTTCTAGTGTATGGAATGAATGAAAATAATCAAGGCTTTTGACACAGGTACTTTCAACTTGTGTTAGAGAAAATGGTTGACAATTGAAGTAATTATCAAGGAGCAAATCAGACAATTAAGATGATATAGTGAAAAAAGACAAGAATGTGGAAGGTGAGAAATTTCTTCAAGCAAACCATTTGAGGAATAGAAAACCATCCAAAGGTTTGTTCTGTTCACCTTATTTTCACTTATTTCAGATTTAATAAGTTAAAATAAGTTCAGTTTAGGAAAAATAAATTCAGATAAGTTCAGTTCAGGAAAATAGGGTCTTATCTCATACGTTGAAATTCAGTTCAGTTCAGTTCAGCTCAATTTAGTTTAGTTTAGTTCAACTCAGTTCAGTTCAGCTCCTAATTTCCTTCTCTTATAAAATTTTCAGTTCAGTTCAGTTCAGCTCGGTTCAGTTCAGTTCAGTGCAGTTCAGTTTAGTTCAGTGCAGTTCAGTTCAGTTCAGCTGAGTTCAGTCAATGAGAACAAACCCTAAGTTTTGATAAAGGTTGTCTAACTTCAAATTACAACTAAAATAAGTTTTAATAAGTTCAGATAAGTTAAGTTAAGATAAGTTCAGATAAGTTCCGTTAAGTTCAGATAAGTGAAAATCAGGTGAATAGAACACACCCTAAAGCTAGAAAAATAGTTGTACTAATTAATTCATTTCAAATTGTGTTTACAAGAATAATACAAAGTAAATCACCAATATCCACTCCTAATCACTATAGAACAAGAATCCTAACTCAATGTGTTTCTCTCCATTTGTGGATGAATAACAAAATTACCCCTGGAAATTCATAATTTATACTCTTAACACATCGTATTAGCAATACAAAATAAAAGTGATAAAGATGACATAGATGTGTTGAAGATGACACGTATGAGCTGGCCTAGACATAACAATTTAGAAGCTACTAATCACTTTTGGACATCAACTCCACAGAAGTTTTGTCTGTTGTGTCAGTTTAAACAACTAATCGTAAAATGTCACGACTTTTATATATATTACTAACATCAAAATTATGACTTGTTATTGAAAAGTTTTTGAGATTAGCTTTCACCTGTAATCTAAATTATCTCAAAATTCTTATTAGATTGAAAACTATGCTCATTTGAAGTTGACTAATGACTTACAAAATTTCCTTACTTATCGTCTTATCGAGTCATTATTATATCCTCACCAATTCGCATTCGCCCCTTAATTACTATGTCAAACCTCGATTGATTTTCGACTCATATTGTTCCAAAATGTTGCAATTCGAATTGGACATTAGTGGGGTGGGAATTTAAAAAATCAAACATAAAACAAACCATCTTAAAGCTATTTTTGCCGGGAGCTAAAATTCAAACCTCACTCAAAACCCCTAAAATTCAAGATCAAATCTTTTCTTTTGGGTTAAAAAAACCTAATCACACAATTTAACCCCAGAATGAATTCAGAAGCAGCAAGAAATTCGAAGGAATGTTTAGAGCTAGTGTTTCAGATGTCAAGCATCTTAAATACAGAACTTGATCGTCACACAATCTCTCTCCTAATCGCCCTCTCTGAATTGGGTTTCAACCCAGAAGCTCTTGCTGCTCTTGTCAAGGAGCTTCCTGCCGGAACATTTTCTTCTTCTTAATCAAGGGTTTTATACTTCTATCCCTTTTTTTATTTGTAATTCAAACTTGGGTTTTTAATAATATGGTGATTTTTGTTGGTTTATTGTATCAGAACTTATTCTTGCCTTAGTGGGTTTTCTTCGATACAACATTATATGGTGATTTTTTTCTTTTAAATGTGCTGATTTATTTTATCTTGACATGCATACTTGTGCAATTCAGGCCTAATATGATATGTGCAATGTGCATAGTGTTTGATTGGATTATAAAATTCTGGGATGTGTAGTTTAATCTGGGAATGGTTTAATTTTAGAGGGTGTTTTGTCAAATTGTTTTGCTGGGTCTATATTTGTTGAATTCAAGGTAAAGCAGTTTGGATTCTGAAATGGGAAATGGGTTTATTTGAAGTTATTATGAGATGAATTTTTTCTATAGTTGCCCTTGGTTGAGTAATCTTGAAAGCAGATTTTTTTGGGGTATCAATTAAGCTTGCAGTACTTGGGATGGATGAGGTTTCTGTTGAGATTTTGAGAAAATATGGAGATTGATGAACTGTGTAGTTATTTATAGTTGGAATGGAGGATAATTATAGCTCTTTATGAATCTGAGATACTTGTTGGATGATAGCCGAAGAAGATATGGGTCAAAAAATGTATTATCATACGGATTATATGGATATCGCATCTCAGTTACTTGCCCTTCTTACCTCGTCTGACATATTTTTAGTGTGTATGAAACTCTTGGTGAATTAGAAAAGGTGGGTACTAGAGTAAATTGTGAGAAGGGTGCTCAGTGTCATTAAAGGTTGATCATTGAATGTGAGACAAAACAAGGCAAGAAGATGGATTTGGTCAGCAAAAGAGCGAGTGGTATGAAGTATAGGTTGTAGCCTTGCTTGCATACAACAAAAATAATGTCTTGCTCTACAATTGGAAATGTTACTGATAGATGGTGCTTTACAGACTACTTGGTGGTCAACATTGCTGTTAGACTAATTTCTTTCTTTTGTAGTTATAGCCAAAAACACACTTGATCTGTTGTTCTCATGTCATATTAGTTATTAATATCATTACACAATCTGGTGGAATCAACTCATATCTAAGCACTCCAAACCCCTAACTAACAAGCAAATGTTGTTGATAGCCTATCAACTCTGAAGGCAAACCAAACTGTTTTATTTACCGAAATGGAGCCAAAGGATTTGGGGCTCTTGGTATTTTCAAGCTTTTTAGCTCTCTGCATACTTGATCTAACATTCCCAGGAAATCCCGCACAATAACAAAGATTCGAAGAGGGTTAGCCTCATCCTTACTCACATCACCATGGTAGTATTCTGTGATTTCTCGTACACTAATCAGGACGTTGTTTTCCTCAGCTTGTAACTCCTTCAAGTTATTCTCTGCATGGTTTAAGAAGGCCTTCATGGCATGGACAAAATTGCCATTTGTTTCTGTGTGAGCCAAATTTTTGTTTACCAACTGCTGCAACTTAGACATTCCATCTGATAGATTTGAAACTGATGTTGCTAGAACATCCAAGTCTATCGATGCTGTTCTTTTCACATTGCAAAGTTCAGTGCTCAGACCAGACACAAGTTCTAGACCCATCCTTCTGTAATTGTCTTCCTTTTCCTCTACTGTTCTGCTCTTTGTGTGTCGGTCTATCTTCCCCATAATGCTGTTTGACATTCGAATTCCCTCCGAACGTATCATCTCTTGTACCACAAAATGGAGCAATGTAGTTTTCCCGTCTGTGCCTTTGACATCTGCCAGCTTAAGGAGTGCGTCAAGCTTAAATGCTTTGGCTCCTCCTCTGCTTGTTCCAACATTCATTCTATTTCCTGTTTTTAGCACAGCCTCTAGTAATTTTAAGAAGAGCCTGCTTGACCTCAGCTCTTTGCAGGCTTCCTGTGGACAAAAATGGAGAATAATTAAAGGTACAAAGGTGAAATAAAAACCATAGGGTTTGAAGTTGAACCTCACCTCGAGTACTTGGAATGAATTCCTCAGGTGAACAACCTCGTCATCAAAGGTGGCTCTATAAAGCATTGCTTCAATCCTTTGCAAGGCATTAGGTACTGTCAGTATTTCTTTAACTAGCTTCTCTGCTGATCCAAGTTCATTGATGTCTCCCTTGTAATTGGATAGCTTCGTTTCTTCTTCTTCTGTTGGTGCCATCTTTACCAGAGCCTCGAGTTGTTGCGAGCTCAAGCCTTCCCCTGTTTATTGACAATACTTGATTTTGTTAATGAGTCATTATGCACTACTATAATAAGTAATTAATGATTGACTGTCCTTTGCAACTTAATAAAGATGTGAATTTTGTAGATGTACCTTGTTTTAGTGCTTCACACACCTTCTCAGATGTGGCATTCAGAGCTTTAGAGAGTATGGTTATGTTCTGGAGTCTTTTCGGCTCAAGGACATGTTTGCTTGGTGAGGGACTTTTGCTTTTTCCTTCATCATTGTTAAGTACATTCTTTAGGTTGTAGCCAAATAGAGATTCTATCATCTCCTCATCCAACCTGCAAGAAAATCCTTCTTTAAGCTCTGAATTGGGTCCTATAAAAAGAAAATGCCTTTGAGAGAGAGACTAGTAATATAATACTCACTCGAATGAGCTACACCGTAGCTGGTCCCACACCATAGATCGATCTGGTGCAGCTCGAACTTTGTCCCAGTGTAATGGTTTCAGTTTCGGCAGTGGAGAACCATCTTTCCCTAGTGGCGTGAATGGAGGAGGTGGCCCAGGTGGTGGAGGGGGACCTTTTGATGAGCTGGCCTTTCCATTAAGGAATGGTGGTGGACATGGTGGAGGTGGAATATTTCGTGGACCATTTAGAATATCTGGAGTTTGTGGTGGTGAAGCTAAGCCCTTTTCATTGGTCTGCTGTGATTCTGATGATGAAGTATGTACCACCTTGGAAGATTTAGAAGCTTTGAATGAAGGAAAAACGTGTGCAAACAGGGGCGGAGGTGGAGGTGGTGGCGGTGGAGGAGGAGGAGCTGTAGGGGGAGGCGGTGGAGATGGTGTTGGCTGTCTGTAGTCTTGCAGTCCATTTAGAGCATTTTCTATGTTATGAGCTGGCTGCTCTTGGTCGGATAAAGGTAATTTATGAGGGTTTGCTGGTAAACTATGGTTTGGGGAGAAAATTTCCACCGGATCACCAAAGCTACCATATGACACATTAGAAAGCCTAATATTAAGATTACTAGATGAACGCGAATCACACAAAGAATGAAACGATTCATCCTCGGATGAATGTTTATCAATGCCATCCATCATATCAGCATTCATAGAATTCTGATCATCAGATTCATATCTGCTTGATCCTGTATACTCATGAACTGATATAATCTCTTCAGCCAATGAACTGCTCTCCTTAGACTCAATCTGTATGGTTTCATATTCTGAATGCTTTCTCTCGTATGATGTACTACCCTTGCTTCCCATTATCGATTTCTCGAAACAATCAGGACTTCCTCTCAAACACGTTTGCGGTTCAAGAACAGATGTTAAAGTGTCAATGTAAAACAAATCAGAGTTAAGTTCTTGGGTTACCTTCCTTGCTAAATTTTCTGTTGTTACGCTCTTTGATCTCTCTCTATCCCCTCCATGGTCGCTACATACCGAAGCCGTTCCAGTAGCAACCTTCTTATGGCGGTACGTCCTCTTACTAAACCATAGTAAAACTCCAAGAGCAAAAACCAATACCACCACTCCTGTAGGAACTACTACTGCAACTGTAACTATCTTTTTTGTTCCATTTCCTTGTTGCTGATCATTGTCAAGCTTGTGTACTGGCAGCATTGGCCGAGGCCGGGGTGACTGGTGATGGTGATGATGGTGGAGATGATGCAAGCGTGTATGGATAGCCGGCGCTTGTGCAGGAACCGGAGCTGGTGCTGGAGCTTCAGCTTCGATTGTATTTGGTGATGGAGACGGTGCAGGTGACTCATCATACTCTCTTCGTTTCACTTTGTTTTTAAAGGTTCTTAACCCAAGTAAAGCCCTGAACTTTTCCAGTACTGCAGTATTATCCTCCCTAGATATGGCTCTAATCTTGTAATCACCTCGTTCGTCGTAAAATCGTAAACCCTCTGCTTCTTGCCAGGAAGCATTCACCATTAAAATGCTGCTTCCCATGTTATGATATGTAATAACAATGATGAACACCATTATTGTCATCATTGTAAGGGTGAACATTTTATGATGATGTCTGCTTTCCATTTTCATCTTTTTGGTCTCAATATAGAAAGCAAAGAAATGAAATGAATCCCAACTTTTCTGCTTAAAAAACCATACTAATTTCTAATTTGTATTACATTTTTTTTTATTTTTCTGATATTGTTGTTGGGTTGGGAGGTGAAGAAGATCTAGCAGAAGAAGGAAGAAAAAAAAATGGAGGAGAGAGAAAGTCTTAATTGCTACTCCAAGGAACCCCTGAGCCTGGCAGTTATAGTTGTACTGGGCCTCATCTTTAATGTTTTTTCTCTTCATGTTTTATCTTCTGTCTTTCTCTCTCTGCTTTCCATTAATTCCTCTCTGACAATTACACTGTTCTAACTCCCCGTAAGCTTACACACGCACGCTAATAACAACCGTTATGAACTCGACATCTCTCTCGTAATAATGTAATCTAATACTTTTACGTTGGACGTTTCGGGTTTAAGTTATGGATTAAGAAGATTATCTGCATGGTTTAGAAAGTGTCGGTTTTGTTATGGGTCGTAATCTTACACAGTTGGGATACTGCTCTTGTTCTTAAAACAAATGTTAACATGATAATGTAATCAAGAGTATGTAAAAGTTTAAGTGGGCCATCTTTTGGTTGAATTTGCCTACCTTGTAGTTGTAGGAGAGCTGACCTAAAGTTTTTAGGAGAGTGAAAGGTGGTAAATTTAGGCCTACAGTTGGGAGGAAAACTTTTTTAGAATCTTCAAATTGACCTCTTTTTGTTTTGTTTGAAAATAACATGTAATAAGGTTGGAAAAATTAGGAACAGTATATCACGCCTAGATTGGGTACTATTGATTGATTATGTTGCTGTCATGTTGCTAGTGTATTGGAAAATTCTTGTACTACGTATTTCTTTTGTTTTGTATTGGTTGTCACATTGCTTCCATCACCTAATTAAGATAAAGTGTACAGGGTAAATTTACATGTGTTATGCGATTAGGGTGTGTCTTACGGTGTTACCCTTGTTTTTATGGAAATTTTATTACAAGTATACTCAGTACATTTTTGTATTTTTATGTCAAGAAATGAGCATAATATAATTGAGTATTGCGGTTCATTTTATATTCTTTGTGCGTAGATTAGTACATTCAAGTATATAATAGTTTGTTCTCTGTAATAAGTATTCCCAAACGTGAAGAAGTTTTTGATGCAGAGGAAATTCTCATGTGCGTATTCTGCACTCAAGTCTCAAGCCAACTGTTGAAAATAAATTTAAAGAGTTTAGGTGGTTGGTCTCCTTTGAATACGAGTAGGTACGTTTGGAAAATAAATGGTTATTGGTTATCTTTGCAAATAATGTGATTGCACATGGTTTATAATACTTGTGTTATACTGTTGTTTACGTTCTAATGTGTACATGACTGGTCTTTTTCTACTTTCATGATGCATTAACCATGTTTCTATTAGTTTAGATGCCAATTTTCATAACAAATATTGCTTCATTTACCTTAGAAAATACTACTCTATAATCCCTCATTGTCAAGAATTAATCAATTTTCGCAATGATAGATTGATAGTGCATATTTTGAACTAATAATGTAATAGCTAAATCCGGACAAAGGTGTGCTGTAAACGCTGATTGTTAATTTAACAGTGTTTTAAACAACCTTATCTCCCAATAGTGTAAGATGTTTGGTTCACTTGGGTCAATCAACTATGTGAATTACGTGTTGGCTCTTCCAAAACCGACTTAAAAGATAAACTATATTAGCTTAGTCCTCAATTGTCTATAACCTAAATTCGGACTTGAATGGCTCAATGCCACAATTAATCACTATTGACTATAAATTGTTGAGCTAAACTTGGAGGATTAAATTGTTGCCTTAGAAATTAGATAGTTGGTGCTATATTGAGGCAGACAATGAAGTAAGCATAAGAGTATTACCCACTTTGCACATGCACTCATACTCTTTTACCTAACAAACACACAACAACGTTTCCCAGAGAGATGGATACATAGCCCATACCTTCAAACTAACATAAAAGTATATTGTATGACAAGCATATTGGCTTGACTTAGCCGTCACTTGCCATGGACCATCACTTTTTTTTTTTTTTTTGGTTAAGCATGTATTTTTGTATGTTGTTTGCTCGTTATTTGGATTTTGTTGTGGTACCATGGGATAGTCTAGATATTAGGCATATAGAGAATTTAAGGGGATCGATAGCAAGATTACTCTATGTCGGGCTTATTTGATATGGTCAAAACATTTATTCGTATGGAATAAAACTATGTATCTATGTTAAGTATCAAATAAAACTATGTATCTATGTTAAATTGACACTTTTTTATGAAGCAAGGGAGTTTGTAACGTGATTGCTTATCAAATAGTGTCATCATCAATTCATACTCATTGTATTAATGGTTAAATTGATCAACATTAACACTAGCCTAAGGATATAGTTATACCCAAAAAAAAATAAAAAAATGATGCCCTTTTGTGATTAGTAAGTCTTGGAAAGACAATCCATCAATTGGTTTGAAATCAATACGAATAGGTGAATGAATAACATGAATAAATGTCCTTAAATGTTAACAATAATAAACAAAAGCTAAGAAAAAAGATTTAAAGTTAACTTAACTCGCAAAAACATTTGATTTGATTGAAGAAGACCAGAATTTTGGAATACACATAAATCTACAGATCCGTCTGACACAAAAACTAAATATTTACACGGAAAAACTATTGTCATAAAGTAATCTTTCTAATAATCTAATGTTCTATCTAATACGCAGTAAAGTATGAGTATCATCTCACTACCCATTTCTAGCTTTCACACCCATTAATAATTTCCATCACACTCAACAACCTACTTTCATACAAGTAGTGAGTTCATAATAGCAGGATTTTGCTCCCTTTTAAGTTGTATAATAAACTAAAGCGACCCCATCCTGGCCCACCTTCATCTATAATTTTTGGGCTTCTAAAATGGGCTGGTAAATATAACAAAAGGACCAGAATGATGGTGTTATTTATACCTGAAAATTTTACACTACACCCCGGTGTAGCTTCTGCTACCTACACCCTCCCCTCCCCAAGTGACGTCATTTTGTTCTTTTTTGTGTTTACTTTCTTTTTTTTTTTTCTTTTTTTGTAATATACCATTGCAAGTTAATATAATGTTTTGAGTTTCAATTCCATGTAAAAATTATTGTACTCGTATAAAATAAAGAGTGTGAAGAGATTTCCATGGTATCAATTATAATAAAGCAATTGATGATCCTTTGTTTCAAAAAACTAAGCAATTAATGATCCTAACTCACAAGAAAGCAACTCAATAAGCAAATTGCAAGCCTATTCGAATCAATTACAAACAAATTGCAGTTGCTATGACAGCGGTGGTGGCGAGATGATGGTGGTTATGTGGCAGCGGTGATAGCGGCGGCAGCGAGACAACAGTGGTCATGGGGCAATGAGGCAACAATGGTTATTGTGGCTTAATTAGTTGAGTGGGTTAGAGGGGGAAAGCGCAAAGGATTAAGAAACAGGGAAAATATAAAGAAGCTCAAATCACCATTGATAAAAAGCTTGCTTCTGATTTTAATGAGAAGTGTATAATTTTAAAATTTTTTTATAAACAAAATATTCGTATAATTTTATAAACAAACATATAATATTTTTAAAATGAACATATTTATTTAATTGTCGTAAATGAACATACAATTATTTAAAATTGAACATATAATATTTCCAAAATGAACATATTTATTTAATGGTTGTGAATGAACATACAATTATTTATAATTGAACATATAATATTTCAGAAATGAACATATTTATTTAACATTTGTAATTGAACATATAATATTTCAAAACTCAACATATTTATGTAATAGTTGTAAATGAACATACAATCATTTATAATTGAACATTTAATTAAGGAGCATTATCATAGATGAAAAATGTATAAAAATTATAATTTTTGTACTTGTTATTGAAATTTTTTGAAGGTAGCACACACTTCTTATTGTAATTGTATGTAAGAATCATTTCCATGACAACTGTTATATAACACACACTCTTATTGAAATTCCTTATTAAATTTGTAAAATTAACTACTTCATGATATTATTGGGTGCTTTAATTAGTAGTATAAAAATATGTTTATCATATATCAAAATTCTAATAAATGTATCTTAATATGCATTTGATCATATAATATTATGTGATTGAACATTTACCAATTAAAAATGAACATTTATCAAAGAAATTTCCACTTCAAAATATAAAAAGAACAAACATTTATATGTGAATGATCATGTGCTAATATATAAATGAACATTAATTATATTAATAATCTATTAACATGTGAATAACATCATACTAATATATAAATGAACATTTACCAAATTGAAAATGAACATTCATAAAAAATAGAACTTTCCACTGCGAACTAAATTTACAAATCTATACTCATACGAAACAGATTAAATCATCCAGAAAATTGCGACAATTATACTCTTTTTTAATTTTTTGAGTTCAGCAATTTTATAAACTAATAACACACCACAAATTTACTTTTTTTTTTCCCCATTTTTTTTACAAAAATAAGTAAAATTATATCATCATACTTACTTTTATACATTTTCAAGCTGGATGTTTATTTTATTTTCATGAAAACACAATTGCCAACAAAAATCAGTAAAAAAAACTAGGACATTAAACTTGTGTTTTCATTTCAAAATCAACAAAAACACTTACAATTTCGATTTTCGACTTTGTTTTGGTACTTTTATCCAGCGATTGTGTAAGTTTATCTCATATATTAGACATTGTGCTTGACTATTATAGAGAATTATAACTTTTTACTGAAATTTATTTGCAAATATTGAAGATTTTGATGAGAGAGAAAATGGAGAAATAAAATGAGAAGAATGAAGGGAGAAAATTTGAATGGTGGTTCAATTTTTTTTTTCATAATGTAGTGTGTGGGGTATAGATGGTTACTGTAACAACTTGCAAGAGGATAGTATATGAGAAGTGAGGAGTTAGTAGGAGGAAGGGTAAAACGGTACCGTTTTGTATGGGGGTGTAGGTAGTAGACCCTACACTAGGGTCTAGTGTTCACTAAGCCATTTATACCAAGGCCCTCTTTTATTGTTTTGCAAGGGAAATTAGGGCCCATGTCAATAGCCAAATAAAAACTATCGTCAAATTACTTGGTATCAAAAATATTGTCACTTGATAGTTGATATACTCGTCGGAAGAAACTTGTTATAGAACTTAAGTACTCGGTATTAAGGTTGCATTTTGTTCACTTTATTAAAAATAAAATAATACCAGTAAGTTTTAAAACTAATTAGATTAAAACATGTGTAAACATAAGGTTTTAATTACGTCTAATAAAACAATTTTAAAAAATTTAGGGCTTGTTTGGCATCAGTTTTGGTTTTCAGTATCCTGTTTTTTTGAAAACCAGGAAACAAAAAAAAGGTGTTTTCACTTTTCTGTTGTCAGTTTTCAAAATTATCATAATTTTAATAAGTTTATATAATTTTTGATTCACTATGGGACTCA